TTTTTTTTTTTTTTTTTGGTCTTTTTGAGACAGGTCTCCCTGTAGCCCCAGGTATCCTGGAACTCACTATGTAGACCAGGCTGGCCTTGAACTCACAGAGATCCACCTGCCTCTGCCTCCCAAGTGCTGGGATTAAAGGTGTGCACCACCATGCTTGGCCTATTGTTTTTAATGACACAGAGCATTGATTTAGGGCCTTGTGTACACCAGGTGTGCATTCTACCAGGCAAGATACAGGCAAGCCCTATCACCACCCCGTTGACCCTCAGGTCAGAGAATTCAAGTGTGCTACCTGGAACTGGCCTTGGATTCCAGTCACTGGCCATATGCAGTGACCAAAGCTGAAATACCATGTGGGTGCTGGGATTCAAACCTGGGTCTTCTGCAAGAATAGCCAGTGCTCTTAACTGCTGAGCCATATCCCTAGCCTCTTGTTATTTTTTTGTTGTTGATGATGTTTTTTGAGACAGGGTCTTACTGTAGCCCCAGCTATTCTGGAACTCACTAGTAGAACAGGCTGGCTTTGAACTCACAGAGATCCACCTGCCTCTACCTCCCAGGTGCTGGGATTAAAGGCATGTGCCACCATGCTGGGCTACAGACCCATATTTTTATTTTTAGATATGGTCTCATGCATCCCAGGTTAGCCTCCAACTCCATAAATTGTATCGGATGACCATGAACTCCTGATCCTCCTGCCTGCACCAGCCAGCACTGAGATGAAAGGTGTATCTCACATACCTGGCTTAAAGTTCCAGCTTTGCAAGATTAGAAGGCTTCTAGAGATTGGTTGCAGAACGGTATAAAAATAGTTCACCCTGGGCTGGGACACAAGTTGGTGGTAGAGCATGTGCTCTACCATTCCTGGCTCAAACCTAACCTACTTGGTGCTACAGAAAGTCACATTTAAACACGACTAACGTGGACCTAGAGCCTCAGACCTCCGGGGGTTGTAGGGTCACTCCCACCCCGGCCATGGTATACTTTTGTCTTTCTTAATAAATTGCTTCTTTTATTATTCAGTTTTAATTATGGGTGTCTGTGCACATGAATGCGGGTGCCTTTGGAGGCAAGAGTCCTAGGAATTCTTGAGCTGGAATTGTAGGCAACCATGAGCTGCCCAATGTAGACGCAGGCATGTCTAGCTCAGGTGTGGAGGACAGAGGGAAATCTCAGGTATTGATCCTCAGCCTTTGATCCCTTCTTGAAGTGAGGGTCTTTCATTGGCCTGCAACTTTAGCTGGCTTGTGAGCTTCTAGGGATTTGCCTGTCTGGGTACCCTATCTCATCATGACTGACTGGGATTATATGTGGACACCATTACACCTGGCTTATGTGGGTTCTGGGGATCCAAACTCAGTTCCTCATACTTGTTTTGAAACAGGGTCTCCCTGTAGTCCCAGCTGGCCTGGAACTTGCTATGTAGACCAGGCTGGACTGGATCTCCCAAAGATCCAACTGCCTTCTGAGTGCTGGCATTAAAAAGGTGTGCAGCACCACGTCTGGCAGCTCCTCACATTGCAAGGCAGGTGCTTTGTCAAGTGAGCCCTCACCCCAGAACACACCCCCATTTGAAAAAGTTTTTATTACATTTTATTGATTTAACCTGTGTGCAAGATGTGCCTAGGTATGGGCGTGAGTGCACCTGTGCCAGGACCTAAGCATGGTGGTGGATTCAGGACCCCCCACCAGGTGGATCCAGGAAGCAAACTCATGTTACCAGGCTTCCCAGCAAGCACCTTTATCTGCTGAACCATCTTGCAACCACAAAGCTTCTTTTATTTTAAATTTTAATTAATTAATTATTTTTGGTTTTTCTGAGACATGGTCTTCCCATAGAAGACCCCAACTGGCCTAGAACTCACTATGTAGACCAGGTTGGCTTTGAACTCCCAGAGATCCGCCTGCCTCTGCCTCCTGAGTGCTGGGATTAAAGGCCTGTGCCACCACACCTGGCCTTCAATTCCTTTTTTAATTTCCTTTTCCTTTTTTTCCCTTTTGTGGTGCTAGAGATAGAACCCAGGGCCTTATGTGTGGGGATGGTAGGCATGCATTCTACCGCTGAGCCACACCCCAGCCCCTCACTGGGGGATCCTAGGCAGGGGCTCTACCGCTGAGCCACACCCCAGGCCCTCACTGGGGATCCTAGGCAGGGGCTCTACCACTGAGCCACACCCCAGCCCCTCACTGGGGGATTCTAGGCAGGGGCTTTACCACTGAGCCTCACCCCAGCCCCTCACTGGGGGACTCTAGGCAGGAGCTCTCTACTGTTGAGCCCTGCCCCTCCCATGCCAGCTACATTTCATCCACACTGTGGATGTGGTGCTATCTGATGCAGAGCTGGTGTTTTTTTCCATTGAAGAAAGTTCCGTGCTGCTTACACACAACCCCTTCCTGATTCTACCTGAAATTGCCACTTGTGCCCCTGAATCTAGCTGCCTTTCAATCTCTAGAGTTTACTGGAGAACCTACTTCTCTGATTTTAAAATGTTCTTCCTGGGGCCAGTTAGATGACTCAGTGGGTAATGGTGCTTGCTGCCAAGCCTGATGACTTGAGTTCAAGCCCCAGGATCTATATGAGAGAGTTGAGTCCCACAAGTCCTCTGACTGCCACAAATAAATAAATGTAATTTTTTTTTTTTTGGTCTCTTTTTGAGACAGGGTCTCCCTGTAGCCCCAGCTGTCCTGGAATTCACTATGTAGACCAGGCTGGCCTTGAACTCACAGACATCTACCTGTCTCTGACTCCCGAGTGCTGGGATTAAAGGTGTGCGCCACCACATCCGGCTTAAATAAATGTAATCTTTAAAAAAGATGTACTTTTGGGGCTGGAGAGGTGGCTCAGTGGTACAGAGCACTGACTGCTCTTCCAAAGGTCCTGGGTTCAATTCCCAGCACCCACATGGCAGCTAACAACCTCTGTAACTCCAGTTCTAGGGAATCTGACATCCTCTTCTGACCTCTGCAGGTACTGCAGGATAGAAATGTAGCTACCTACATGCAGGCATTACACACATAAAATAAAAATTGATGCACACCTTTAATCCCAGCAGAAGCAGGTGGATTTCTGTGAGTTCCAGGCCAGCCTGGTCTACATAGAGAGTTCCAGGCCAGCTGGGGCTACAGGCAGACCCTGTCTCAAAAAGACCAAAAAAAGGAGGGGGAGAGATGGCTCAGCAGATAAGAATACA